GGGTCGTCCCGAGCCTGCCCTCCACTCTGGGACCGCGGTGGGGCAGCGCCGGGTCGCGCGCCTGAGGGCCCCCGGAACTTTGTGCTTAAAGTTACCCCCTAATCCGGGCCCCATTTCTGGGTGACGCCGGCCCTGCAGAGCTGCGGGGGGCGGGTCGTGAGCCCGGGTCAGGCTCCGCGAGCGCCGGGGCTCCCGCGTCCCCTCGGCCGTGTCACTTGACCTCTGTGACCCCTGACCCCCCACCCCCAGGCTGGTCCTCCGGCGGGTGGGGACACGTCCCAGACTGTAGGGTACCGCCGGAGAGAAAGGGGCTGCGGGTGACCGGGGCTCGTAACTGTGGATCGTTTTCTCTAAAGCAGTGGCATGGACCAGAAAGAGAAGTCCGTTTCTGTGGCGAGTTGCAAAGTAAGAAAGAAGCAGGCGGCAGACTAAGCCCGCCGGCCGGAAGGTGGACCCTTGAAGAGATTTAAAAATGTCCCGCGGAAAACCTCCCGGCTCCCGGGGGATTGCGCTCCGTGAACCTGAAGCGCCCCCGGCCCGCGGCGCCGAGGCCCCGGGGAGAGGCCCCGCCGGGGCGCGCAGCCCCAGGCGCCTGGACGGCGGCGGCAGGTGACGCTCACACCCTGGGAGCGGGTGCTTCTTACCTGAGGAGTAAAAAGGAAAAGAGGGTTTAAGTCTTTCTGGTTTGTTTGCGGGGTAAGCCTAGGAGAAAGCTTAAGGGGAGGCTCAGGGAACTTGGAATGAAACGCTCTGGGAAACTGAAGAAAATTACCAAAGGGTAGCAGGCGTAGATAAAAGGCGGTTAAGGAATGGAGCGGGGTTGAGGCGGGGAGTGGAAAATGTTCGATGGTTACCAGCGTCTTCTGCTGGGATTCCCCCACCTGTAAAGAAGAGAAGCCTGCGAACGCTAAGGAGCTGATTTCGTGTTAAGCGCTTGGGAAGCTGCTGGGCACGGAGTGTGCTTGCTCAGGACAAGCCGGCCGTTACCTTAATTGTCTTTCGTCTTGCAGTGAGCAGCAGGACAGAAACAGAATCTCCGAAGACCTGATAATGATTGTCCAAGAAATGAAAAAATACTTCCCGCCCGAGAGACACAGTAAACCAAGCACTCTCGATGCCCTCAGCTATGCCCTTCACTGTGTGCGCAGCGTACAAGGTAAACCAGCTGGAGAGAGAATACAGTCGGGCGAGGACACACACCATTGCTCAGAAACGTCAGCCAGGCCAGACGAGTTGTCAGTGGGGCTGTCATCACAGGAATGTGTTGAGATTTTTATGGTGTTTTATGTAAGTGAGCAAATCTGTAACCGATTCCATTAGGGCGTGTGTGTGTTTAAACTAGGGGCGCTAGGAGAACCTGATGTAATAGTTTAGTAATTATGCAGTATTTTGCTGACCTGCTGTAGGAGAGTAGAGTTTAGCATAAGCACATTTTCAAAGATTCACTTTTTAAAGGAGCATTATCTTCGTGGATATTAGGGGGGAAAATACGTGTGGCTAAATACAATTGACCTTTCCCTGCCATACACATACTTTTAAAATGCACTCGTGATGTATCAAGAATTTACCAAATTGCAAACGAGCAACTGTAAACACTTTTTCCTTTTTCATCTCTGACTTTTCTTCTCAAGGGGTTTCATAAAGTACAGGATCTCTAGCCAAACCCCTGTGCTTCACATGCGACATGTGGCTCCCGAGTGCTGGAGTAACGTTTCTGTCCTTGCAATGCCCTGTGTGTACATCTGGAACTGCTGGGTTCGGCCCCCTCTGTAGCACCTTGAATGTTCTGTTCCTTGTGATCTAGAACATACCGGATTCATAAAGTTTGCACAGTGATCAGTATTTCAGGTGAAGGAAGAAAGTGATCTGGTTTTGAGGAAAATACAGGTGTTCTCATCTGAAAAGCAAGCCAGCTTTAGCAGTCATAATAATCAATGATTTCCTGAGATACTGTTTTCACTGGACTACCTATTTATTTTCCTGTGTTTCTTAGCAAACAGTGAGATTTTCCAGATTCTCAGTCAGAATGGAGCACCTCAAGCAGATGTGACCTTGTACAGTCTTGAGGAGCTGACCACTATTGCTTCAGAGCACACTTCCAAAAACACAGTAAGAATTCACGAATTTTGCCATCTCAACCTGCATGATTTGTCCTAACAACCTTATCTAGATGCAGATTTTTAAAAATAATAACGGAGAGTTTCAGTAGCCACAGCGTGAGGTAAACAATAGGGGAAAACCACCGAAGAGGCCTGTGTGGTTTCTCCTGCCCTTGCCAGGGCACAGGTCTGGAAGCAGGAAGCCGCCCGTGAGCGGTTGGCTCTGCCTCGGTCCTCAGGCACCTGTGCCCCCAGCATCCCTGAGTTCTCTCACGCTGACCCCGCAGAGCACTGCACTGCCCTGCCTCTTGTTCTAATCTCCGAATTGTTCATTTCTATTTATATCATTCTTAGTTCCAATACTCCAATACTTCAAGTAACAGCTGGATTTTATAGAACAGGTGAGTTGAGATGCTGTCGTTTTTTTATAAAATTTTGGAAGAGACATTTAGTATATCCTCTTTGAATCTCTTCATGTCAAAAGAATAATTTCACCTCATGTTTTGTTGGTATGGTGGAGGTTACTTTATGTTTTAGATTGCAACATAACTGTGACTTAAAGATTTTATAATATTGGAACATGAGCTATGCCTAACGTTATAGTAGTGCTTATATCACTAACTCGTGTGTTCAGTGTACTGTAGTAGGCGCTACTGAGATTTAAGGGAAAACCAAAACAGAAAACGTTTCCCCTTGCAGGTGTTCGAAATAAAGCTAGAGAGGAAAACATAGACCAGCGCTAGCAGTAGAAACAGTGGTTGATTGTAACTAGGTTATATTTATGTCTATTGGAACAAATTCGAGAAACAGTTCTTTTGTAACGAGGTTGGTTAAAGACAACATCTTGGAGGTAACTCTTGAGCTAGTAGTTCTTGAAGCCTAGAATATGCCCCTGTAAAGAGAAGACAGTCCCTCCAGGTGTCAGGCACAGTGTGCAGAGGAGGAGGAGTCCGTAAATATGTACTGTGTGTGCTTGCTCAGTACAGAATGAGCTGCTCTGTTTTTTGGCCTGGAAATCAAACCTTCAGAAGTTACATGCGGGTTTTACGGTGACAGTTAAAGAAGTATGTTGAGAGCTTTGTTGCCTTTGCAGGATGTGTGTGTCCTAAGCTACTGATCATGGTAGAAATCTAGGACAAATTTACCTCTCGGGGAAATATTGCTAGGAAGTATCTCAATATTTGCATTTATTTTAAATGTTTTTCATAGGATACCTTTGTCGCAGTGTTTTCATTTGTGTCTGGAAGGTTGGTGCACATTTCTGAGCAGGCTACCTCGATCCTGAACTGTAAGAAAGACTTCTTGGCGTCCTCTCATTTTGCTGAACTGCTTGCCCCTCAAGATGTGAGGATGTTCTACACACACACTGCCCACACTCAGCTTCCCTTATGGAACAACTGGACCCAAGGAGGTAATGGGACCGATATTCAGATGTCCACCTTGCCTCCTAAAGATCAGTTTCATGCTTCCAGAAATAGAGCAGAAATTAATGCATTATTTGCAACAGGCAGACCATATGGTTTTTCTTATTTCTTTATTTTAAAACGCAGAATGTGATGAAAGTAACATTTTAAATGCTTCTAAAATGAAGATTCAATAAATTTGCTTTCATGTAGTCCAGTTGATTTCATAGATTATGTATCATAAATACAGTTTGATTGCCAGCATACTGTATAGCAGGTTAATTGCTATAAAGGCTCTGTTTCCTTTAAGTTAGTAAAATGAAATGTTTCCCGTCTTATATTGACTTCATTATGTCTTAGCTTTGCTTTGGAGATAAACTTTTGAAGGTTAGCTTTCTTCTTCAGTTTTGTTGTCCCTAAAAGTTCATGAATCTCATTACTTCTGCAATGCTGCTTTTACTGACGTGGGGATGCCTGCTCACAGTTTTCTTTGTAACCTTCAGTCCTGTGTGATCTTTAAGTAACTCATTATTTCTGTTCTGTGTCTCCCTTTATTACTTACCTCACTCTCTTTGTGAAGTGTCTCTTAAAGAGCTTAGTTTAGTAGAGACCATCCTTCTCTTTGATTCCTTCCTCTCATTTTTAAAAAATGTTAATTTTTTTGTCGTAAAAAACACATCAACAAGACTGACCGTATTAACCATTTTCAGCCCGCAGCTCGGTGGTGAGCGCACTCACGCTGCTGTGAAACATCTCCGGCACGCTCTCACCTTGTGAATCTAAAGCTTGTGTCCATTCTGATTTTTAGCCCAATGCTTGGTCCAGCGGAGAAGCGTCTTGCTTGCTTCTCTCTGCGGTCATAGACCTTGGCCCATCCTTCGTGCACATTTTACGTGAGCTTTAGAAAGCGTGCCTATCACCCTGGCTCCCTCCTGGCTCCCTCGCTCCGACTCCCATCACTCAGAAACGTTCATTTCGTTCCTCTTCCTCCTTCCTAACACGCATGCTCTCCCTTAATTGTCCATATTTGTCTCTGCGTTTACTAAGCATTTCATAAGCACCTCTTCATCACTCACTGTGGGCCAGGAGCTGTTCCAGGTGCTGGTATAGGCGGGAGCTGCGCGGGCTTGGTCAAGTCTGCTGGCCGCTCATGGTCCCCGGTATGTTCCCTCCGCTTCGCCCAGACAGTCCCTCTTCTCTTTGCAACCTTTTCATCTTCTCAGTCGCTTATTGCTATGTCTTTCCCCTCCGTGTAGAAGCATAATATGGCCTGAAATTGTTGTCTTTTAAACCCCGTCCATCTAGTTTGCTCCCCATATTGTACTTCTGCCCCGTTAACCTCAAGAGTCAGGCTCTCTGAGCACAGTTGTCGAGCTCTGCAGCCTGTTGGGGCTGTGCCCACGTTCCTCTCCCTCGCTGTCTCTCTGAGCTCATAGATCATTGCAAGGACATGGGAAGCTATAACCTCAGCTGCTGCAGCGTTTAGTCCTACTTCAGAGCATGGTTCAGCTTTTCATTTGTGCCCAGACCTCTCAGGAGGAGCTGACCACTGTTTCTTTAGAATGCACTTCAGCAACGAGAAGTGACACGTCACCACCGACATGTGGAAGTGATGGGGGCCCACATCTGTGTCTGAGGTCACCTGTTGGCACTCTGTGTTACAAGACTCCTAGTGAAGGCAGTTGAGTCATGTGCCTGCTGTAATATATAAATAGTGCAAGGAAGTTTGTCTACAGTAGAGGTGCAGTATTTCCTATGTGCAAAGAATTTTAAGCTAGGAATCAGAAAATCCAAGTTTTAAATTGTGTTCTGACCCTTCTTGAACTTTGGAGGCCACTTAGCTTCTCAGTATAAGATAGGTTCGGACCAACCTACTAATACACGGCTGTTGTAAGTAAGAGTCAGGAAAGCGAATGGCTGGGAAAGCATTTTGGAGATTTGGAGAATTCTGCAGCGCAAAGGGTCATCTTACGCTGCTCTCTATTGAATGGGTACTGTTTGCCAGGGACTCTTCTTAATGTGTTTGATTTAATCTGCACAAAAACCTTGTAAGGTGTGGATACTCTCATCATCCCCCCTTGACTGATAAGGTAACTATTAGTTGGGGTCAGCTGAGAAGCAAATGTCATGATGGGATTAGCGGTGCAGGAGACTTACAGGAGAGGACCCCCCACCCCCAGTGCAGGGCTGACACCTGTGGAAGGAGGCTGGGGAGGCACAGTCCTGGCCTGTAGCACAGCTTAGAACAGCATGGCCAAGCAGCCTCGCATTGAAGGAGTCCTGCTTCTCCATGGAATAGCCTGCCTCGGTGTTCCCTGTGTGCACAGACAGTGGCTGAGAGAAGCCTGCAGGAAGTTATGTCCCCTAAAGCCAGGAGCTGTTACCTTTCTTGGCCACACGGTCACTGAGGCACAGAGCTGCCCTTAACCACTGCTTCCCTGACTCCACGACTGCCTGTGACTGACTATAACTTTCAAACAGGAGAGCTGTAAGCAAACAAAGTGGCACCAAGATGGATTCCTGTCCATAAAAATCATCTCAAAAAATTAAGGGTATTTTCAAAACATCCTTACCCAACCTTAATTGCTCTGTGAGTTTATCAGCCTTGGCATTTTCTGTGTTGAGACAGTAGCATATCTTTGCATGAGGAATTCCTTCAGTTTCCTTGGTCAGGTCCTTTCACTGGCTCCCCACAGATACCTGGTAGGAACTGTCTTCTGCCTTCTGGATTCTGGGACTCTAGCTTCCCTAGTTTCATGCATTTTGATAGTCTGATCACTGGTCCCTTGACTTTTAAACTGAGGTGTCTATTTTACTCACATACATTGTTCTTGATCATTCAGAAGCTCGTATTCTGATTTTTCTGTGATCCTTAGAAGTGCAAAGACCTGAACATATTCAGTATTTCAGTTCTTTAGAATTTCCGTTGTCTATGCTCCTTCAATGTATATTTTTTAAACATCTCCTTAGTTTTAAATATTTCCTTGGTTCCTATAACTCAAGACTTTTGCTCCAGTGAACAAATGTCCAAAGAATATATTCAGGGAGCTCTAACTAGAGGAAACAAACACTCGGGAAAAGGTTCAGCCTCCTAATCTGCCCTAAGATGGGCAAATTTAACATTTCTGAATTACCACATCACAAATCAATAAAATTAATGCAAAAATCAATACAATTGATACACTCCATTGACCTGAGGATTGCGAGAAATGTGACTAATGACACTGTCAGTTGGTACAATCTTCTGGACATTAGTTTGCCAACACACTATGAGAGTCATAGAATAACCGTGTCACTTAACCCAGGAGCACAGCTTTAGGGAATGTATCCAAGGAAAGGAAACAGTGGAAGAGATGTGTATATCATCTACCTAAAAGCAGCAAGTAGTCTAATTCTCAACTTTTGAGACATGTCCAGGCTGTTGCAGTGGAGTAGGCTGTTACCACCAAAGTAACAGTGTTACTACGTTGGCATTTGAAGGAATGAGTTGGGGCAGCTGTAGAAGTTCAGAGGGACTGTAGAGATCGTAAAGTAGAGGCTAAGTCGGACACTCTCCTGCCTACCTGAGAGTTCCTGTTACAAGAAGAAAGCCCTTGGGAAACCCTGGATGCGACTGGATCTCAGAGTGACGGGGAGAGTCCTATTTTAATCAGAGGATCTCCCTCTTAAAAATAGTTTCTTGTTTGTGTGGTGACAGTGAGGACGAGCTGCTCCACAGTTTCTCTGTGGGGTGAGTGACAGTCTGTTCTTGTCTCCAGCAGCGTCGCAGTACGAATTTGCTCCAGTGAAGTCCTTTTTCTGCAGGATCCGGTAAGTTAGGGGCTGTGGAGGCCATGGCGGCTGGGCTCTGATTTTACTTGGCGCTTATTTTAATCCTTTTGTGTCTGCCAGGTCTATTGTGGATACAAAAGATAAGACTTGGTTCTTGCCGTACGAAGTTTGTATTTTGATTGAGGGAAGGAAACACATCCTCAAGAGGAGAGTAGATGATGCAGTAGGGCAAGATGAGAGAGATGCTTAACTGGGGCCAGAAGCACCCCTAGGGTTCAGTACACTTCCAGTGACCACTGTTCGGGTCTTTTGTTTTTGTTTGCTTTTGGTGGTGGTTTGGTCACATTTAAAATTAATTTTTGAAATTTTGAATAACTTGAAAGAAAGCAAGAGAGGTATATTTATGACAAGGATTTCAAAGGTCCAGAGATACAAAACTAGAGGAAAATAAACCCAAATTGTAATAGTAGTTATTTCTCATAGGACTTATTAGTGATTTTTTTTTTCTTGGGTATTGAACATTTAAACTAACATTTCCCTTCTTTTTAAAATAAATATGTTTAAGTATTTTAGATTGGCTATGTCTCTCTTAGAAACTACCAGTGAAACATTTTCCCAGCTGTGTTTCACGTTGGGCTAACTGAATGTGTCAGGACGGCGCAACCCATTTCTGTCCTTTGCAGTGGAGGTGGAGACGGAGAGCGAGAGAAGCATTACTACCCGTTCCGGGTGATTCCCTATTTGATTCACGTGCAGAGCTCCTCACGGCCTGAGTCGGAGCTGGAATCGGAGCCCTGCTGCCTCACGCTGGCTGAGAAGATTCACTCGGGTTACGAAGGTAAGTCAGCATCTGCCGTCAGCACATCGGGCAGGAGCCTGTGGAAGCCTGTCCACTGCGGCCGTGGGACAGGACAGAGCACACTGGCCTCTAGCTGGGTCCTGGGCTCTGAGCACTTGCAGCAGTTTTCTGATGTCTCTGTGTACTGACCTTGACGTCTTGTGCGGTCCTCTCCATGGACAGCACGACCAGAGGATCTAAGCAGGGATTGCCACAGATACTCGGTCCTATACTCCTTTCTCTGCTGGTGACAGTCCGATGGCCTTTTGCTTCTGTCTTGTGTGAAATAGGAGCATTGGAATCGTTGCACAGCCAGGCCACAAGAATGAATTTATGTTTTTAAATTGTTTTTGAAACACCCTGGTTTTTATTGTGTGTAAATAAAAACTTTTTAGTATGGTTTATATGTCTGCTGGCAGAACTACATTTTTAAATTTACATATTAATGCAGAAGCAGCTTCCATTTATGATTTGAACTTATAGTCAGTTCTGTTGTAAGGTGGTATATGCTTTTCTAAAAATGATCTTCCTGAGCACAAAAGTCACACAAAATAAAAACCACAGGGCTTATGGGAAAAATGAAGGTAGGGGCCCAACACCCAAAAACTTAACACACATTAAAAATAGGACAATTATCTATTAACAACAATAACAGTTTTAAACATTAAAGAAATTAAATTGGTGCAGCCACTATGGAAAGCAGCATGGAAGTTCCTCAAAAAATTAAAAATAGAACTACCATATGACCCAGCAACTCTACTTCTGGGTATATACCTGAAGAAATCCAAAACATTAATTCAAAAAGATGTATACACCCTCGTGTTCATTGCAACGCTGTTTACAATAGCCAAGATACAAATGCAACCTGAGCGCCCACAAGCAGGCGATTGGATAAAGAAGAGGTAGTACATACATATATCTCATGGAATATTACTCGGCCTTAAAAAAGAGTGAAATCTTACCATTTGCAACAGCATGGATGGACCTAGAAGGTGTTATGCTAAGTGAGATAAACTAGACAGAAAAAGACAAATACCATGTGATCTTACTTGTATGTGGAATCTGAAGGACAATATGAGTGAACAAAACAGAAACAGACTCATAGAGAACAAAGAGTGTTACTAGGTGGAAGGAGAGTAGGGAGCTGGGTAGAAAAGGGGGAGGGATTAAGTACAGATTGGCAGTTACAAAATAGTCATGAGGGATGTAAAGTGCAGCATGGGGAGTAAAGTAAGAAATATTGTAATTCTGTATGGTGCCAGGTGGGTACTAGAATTATTGGGGAAATCACTTCATAAATTATATAATTGTCTAATCACTATGCTGTACACCTGAAACTAATATAAAATAATATTGAATGTCACCTGTAATTGAAAAATAAAATTTTTTAAAATGTGAAAAAAAATGCATAAACAATACATACAGTATATAAGGCTCCTCACCGTGGAAAAGCCATTTGTGGGTGTGGCTGTCGGAAGCATTGTGAGGCATGGGAGGAAGGTTGTCTGAGACAAGGTGGGAGCTTCTGAGAGACTGGCAGGCGTGCCCCGTAACACTTGGTGGGTTGAGGAAGGGCGGGTGTTTAAGGTGTGTGCATGTTTTGTGTGTTCCTGAGTGACTCCATTCAGTTAGATGTCTTCTGCTTTCACCTCATATTTCTTGCAAGTGAAACTGTCCATAAGCAAATGCACAATTAGCATTATGCTCAAATGGTTCCCTAATGTGTTAATCACTACCTTTTCAAAGCAAGCCATGGCAGAACTGACCATACCAATTTTATTTCACAGATTTAAAATGTTCATTTCATACTGACACTTCAAGACCTGTGAGCTTAGTTATATGCAATCACTAAATGTGACTGAACTGTTTGCTCCTGCACTGTAAGGTGCACCGGCCTGTCTAGTAGATTATTTGTGATGAGCAAGCTAGTCAGTGTACACAGCTTTTCTCTGTTTAAAATTAACTTAGTAAGCATGTCATTTTGACCTAACTAAAATGTCAGTAATAATGAAAATTATTATCATCTGACTGTAGCTTTGTCTGCTCAAAGGCCAGGCCCCTAAGTGAGATTGCACCATTTCATATAGAAATTTTGTTATGTGGTTAGTTAAATAGATGACTAATTAGATATTTGCCTTTAAATGAATCTCTGTTTTTTGTAGCTCCTCGAATCCCTGTGGATAAAAGAATTTTTACCACAACACACACTCCAGGGTGTGTTTTTCTTGAAATAGATGAACGGTAAGTACTCCTTTAAGCCTAAAAGAAATTTTTTTCTGAAAATAAATACAAGTCTGAACACATTTACATATGCTCTCATGCTTCTATATTACGTATCTGATATATATCCATTATCTGTTTGATTTTTGTTAGTTTGAAATTGTGTTATCTAAATTTTTAATACAAATGTCGTGCCTGTTACAGTCCTAAGACTTACAAGTCATGGTTGATCCCACAGCATCACCTTAGGTAAGGCAGGTAGTGTGGCTCCTTCACTGGAGAGCAGTGGCCTGGCGGCTCATTTGCCAGGACGGATGTGGTGTGAGATCCTAGTCAGGGCGACGCCAGGGCTCAGCCCCCCGCACCTACTCCAGGGTGCTTCCCATGGACAGCTGCTCCTAAAGCAGCTCGTGAATTTTTTTTAGTCTGAAGGGGGAGAGGAAAGGACAGGCCTTTTCTGTGTATGAAACTAAATTTAATTTCAGTAGTTCCTTATTCTGAACTTACATCCTTCCTCCTTTTTTAGGTGTTAAAATTGTCCTTTTTATTTAAAGAATAGTGATACTGATGATGAATAGTAGTTGCTTATTGTTTTTTTGTATCTTTACTTGGAAAAGTAAAACATTGTTATCCCCTGATTAGTACCTTCTGTTTTTCCCCAATTCATTTAAAAATTTTTCTTGCTCGTGAAATCTCAAAATCTGGGTGACAAGCACCATTCCTCACGTAAGCGTCGGGCTGAAGTGCCCAGCATTTGGCCCGGTTATGATATGTTCACTTTGATTTTTTTTTAAATCTTAACATCTGAAAGTGAGTTTATTTCACTATAGTTCCCTGAAATAAATAGTAATTGGCGAGATGCTTTGTGTACTGTAATGTGTAGAAAATAAGATAACCAAGGATATTCTGGAAATAGCTTAAATTGTATTACATTAGACAATATTTGTGAATTTTTGCGCATAGAAAATGTTTATGGCATTGGTTCTTTCCAAGTCATCCCGAGCATCTTGTCACCCTCGTTTCTGGTGAACCTTTAGCTTGCATGTGTCCTGTGTGCTGGTGATTTATTTGGTGTGACCTCTTGTGGGACATGTTTTTGTGTAATTTTCATCATACTGTGCAAATTGGTAGCGTGCTTTATTCATTTAACATCATAAACATTTTTCTATGTTATGATACGATCTTTGTATGCTTTTTAAATGGCAGCAAATGGAGGGCTCAGGGACCTCTAAGGAACTTGTTAAAATACAGATTCCTGGTCTTGCGGCAGGAATTCTGACTTGTTAGCCTGCGGTGAGCCCGGGAGCCTGTGTTTTAGCAGGTTCCCTACATGGTTTTTGGTGCAGCAAGTCAAATGGCCAACATTTCTTAGGTTATGTGACTTTCCCCACAGTATCTGTGTACTTCTTTTACGTCTAAACTGAAGGAGGGCAGTCTTTTTAAAGTGCGTGGAGTGTAGGAAGGCCCCCTGTGTGTAACCCCGGCCTGTGCCGCGTCTGGCCCAGGGCCGTGCCTCTGCTGGGATACCTGCCCCAGGACCTGATCGGGACATCCCTCCTGGCGCACCTGCACCCCGAAGACCGCCCTCTGATGCTTGCCGTGCACCAGAAAGGTGAGGGCCCGCTGCTCCTGCGACGCAGCCGTTTTCTTCACGGTCCATCCAGCTTTTCATTTCGTTTCTCAGTACAGCTTAGCCTGCAGCCAGGTAAGCGATGTGCTGAAACAGCCAAAGCCACTTCTTCTCCAACTTCAACATTCTGAAACATTCCAAGTAAGGCGGGGTGGCGGGGGCGACGCGCGCGAACCCCTGTCTGTCTGCCCCCCTATAGTGGTGAAGTTCGCGGGCCGCCCTCCCTTCGAGCACTCACCCGTCAGGTTTTGTGCCCAGAATGGAGACTACGTCGTCCTGGACTCCAGTTGGTCCAGCTTCGTGAACCCGTGGAGCCGGAAGGTGTCCTTCGTCATGGGGCGCCACCAAGTTCGAACGTAAGGCCGTCCCTTCCGCATCTTCCGAGTAACCTGTTTCACCAGGCGGTGTTCCGCCCGCTCGCTCCCCTTTGAGTCAGTTAACACATGAACTGAATGAAATTCTTTAGGTGCTTCTGGAAGACGGTTCACAATGTGTGTCAGGGGCCTTGAAATATTTCTCTTTCTCCTGATGCCTCCCTTCTGGGAGTGTTCTAAGAAAATGTGGCCAAACACAGGAAAAGCTATATAAAGAACAGACATATTTCACGGTGGGATTAACTCATAATCTCCAATTTAGAGTAGCTTAAATGTCCATCATTAACTAAACTGAACTATTTGCTTGACATGGTGTTGTGTTGGGTCAATAAAGATTTTTGCAGAGATTATATAACATGGGAAACTGCTATATTAGATGTAAAACAGCAGCATACGAAATTACTTATACCCTATGAGTATGATTATGTCTCAAACACAAACACTGTGAAGTGTGCAACAGAAGATCAGAAGGAAATAAAATATAGATGTTGGTTGTGTGTGAGGTGAGTGAGATTGCGGATAAGACTTCCTCAGAATTTTAAAGTTCTCTTTAGTGAGCATGTAAAACTTTTCCTATCAGCCTTCTGCTGTCAGATTCCGTTTATTTGTGTCTATTTAATTAAACCTAATTTTTTAAATTAGATTCTTTATTATGTAGTTCCCTGCCTGCGTGGCTGACTCCAGCCCGTTTGATCACTGCAACCTGTTCACAGAACAGAATCTGTGCAGTAGATCGAGAACCTGGCGCACCACTACGGTAGCCTAAAATGCTCCCAGGCCCTGGGCTTTTTGGTCCATTTAAAATTGACCTGTAGGTTCCTCAAAGGGCCATAGGTTTCCCTTTGATGTCTTTTATTTTTTTAAGCATGGAAATTAACTCTTCATTATCATGCTGAGATTAAGATGTCTTTCTCATTTTGTTACACAGCTGTGTGCACGTAAAACTGAGAACAGTCATCTACCAGTGAGACTCATTTGATCGCGTCTCAGACTGTAACATAGGGCACAGCTGTGGCCAGGGAAGGGCTCCAGGTTGCTCTCGCCTCTTTGTGCTCTGGGGTTCGGCCTCAGCAGAGCAGGTCTGGAACCTTTAATGGAAGAAGTGGGCTCCTTGCCGCCCTAACTCAGAAGACTGATGTGGCTAGGAAATAATTTAATAACTAAGGTAAGAAATAAGACTTCCAAGCAGGTGCCATTTCTCTTGGTCAGAAAGGACTTTTTTCTTGGTAGGGAAACCTGTTGGGAATGAAAATACTCTGAGATGTTTGCTTAGTAAGAATTTCGACTAATGAATATCAGACATCCATCTGGGTGTCTGTCAGTTGGTCTATGTACCCTCCCCAGTCAGTGCTGGAGACATGTCCTGGACTCCCAAGTTGTCCGTCAGTCCTTTGGATATGTATGAAATTAACTGACATATGAGGACTCACAATGCTTTCACTATTTTAAAAAATTACAACAATATGTACATCTCAAGGCCCAGGGTTATGTGAGGGAGAGAACTCAGAGTAGCCAGTATTATTCTCTCTCGTAAAATAATTATCTATTGTATTTATAAAATTATGTTAATGTATTTCTTTAATTATTTTTGGATCACCTACTGTGTCAGGCATTGTGCTTGGCCCTGGGAATGACAGAGAAACACGTACTCATTTCTGTCCTGAAGCCCACAGTGCAGTGGAGAGCAGACAGTGGAGGGCCGTGGCTGGGTTTAGGAAAGTATGACAGTTGGAATGGGAAGGGGGCTGAGAGTGTTTAGCAGGGACCCTCACCATCTCTCTTTGGGTCCCTCCCAGCAGCTCTGGGCAGACAGGTTAGGTGCTGCTAGTGCTCATTCTACAGAAAAATCCATAGTTGGTGAAATAGAGTAACTTTCCCGGGATTACGTGGGGGCAGGGAGGCTGCAGAGGGAAACTGGATACAGGTCCTCACTCCTAGTCCAGTTTCCTGTCCTGCACAGCAGCTGCTTGGCCACTTGCCAGTGAAGGCTCTGTCTCTGTCACCTACACGGTAATCATTATGAGTCACATAATCACTGATGAAAGAGACAACTTAGTTTTGTAGAAAGTTTCACAAATAGGAATATCTAGATCTCATACCACAAACGAGTCTGTTCTATTTCCATTTCAGAATTTCACTTGAAAAATAATAAAACCCAGGCGCCTTGGGAAGACATTCAGGCTCCAGTGCCAATGTGTATAGGTCACAAATTGCATGTGCTTGGTTCCCAGACTCCTCCACTGATGGTCATTCTGTTCTGTGCCAGGCACTGTCGTAGGTGCTGGAGGGGCGAATACAATAGACCAGACAGCCTGACCCCACAGGGAGCAGGCGGTAGACCAAACGATAGCAGAAGGTGTAGTGGGCCAGGCTGTGCATTCAAGTGCAGTCTGTCACTGTGTACAGTGTGCACCATGCTGTGCTGGTGAGCCTGTCACCTTCCACGGGCTGGGAGCTGAGGGATCCAAATGGTGAGGGACATGCTGCCAAGGCGGAGCTCTCCCTAATCACTTCTGTGACACAGCCTACATCCTGCGGTGTGGTGATGCTTTCTCCCTCTCGGAACGTGTTGCAGTTTCAGAATCAGCAGGGCCGCACGATGGGCAAGCACAGCACTGGCTTTGGGGTCAGACGTGCGGCTCTGTGAACTCTGATGTCAGGATATCCTGCTTCATAGGCTTTGAGGACTCCAGAGAGAACAGATGTGACTCAGTGTACATTTGTATGCTTGCTGTACTGAGGGGCAGCCCAGTAGGGGACAAGCCCTGGTCCCTTCCTGACCGCCTGCTTAGCCCTCACCAGCTGGTGACCTGGAGCAAGTGTTCCCCTCGGTAAAGGAGATAATACTTGGTAGAGCTCTTGGAACAGTGCCTGGCACATCACGAGGTTTGGAAAAGGCTAGTTGTCGCTCTTTGTTGTAAAGCTAGGACAGTTCCTGTCACTCAGAAGGTCCTAAAGACGAGTCCATCAGCCCTTCTCTTCCTGTCCCTCTGTGGGCTTGTCTGCCCTCACTGTGTTCAGGTAGTGGGTTTACAATGCTCTAGAATTTGAGTATAAGTAAGACTTGAAGGGAACGTGATGCCACATTTTCACCAGTAGGGTGTGCCGCAGAGTCATCTTTATTGCAGAGCTTATTAGGTACTTTAAGCATTGAATGTTTGGCAAACTTAGGATCTTAACATTTCTACAGTCAGTTACTGAACTAATGTTAAATTTTGAGACCGGTAGTTGTTGGAGACATTTCAGGAGCTAAGGAGGTATCATGGCACCGATTTTAGATTTGTACAAGCACTGCTGACACCGCTGTAGAAAGACTACAACAGACTAAAGAAGACTGTTACTGTCACATTTGCTTGTCAGTGTTTTCTCTGCTTCCGTGAATAGAATTTTAGCTTTGCGTTTGCTATATTTGGAGTCAAGAGTTGCTTTGTAATAACATAGGTTTATTATTTGAATATTAAAAATCACTTTAGACTTCATTGTGAATGGATTTTAAATCACTTGACTCAGTCTTTCATGTGGTACTTGGTAGGGGCCCACTGAATGAAGACGTCTTTGCTACCAAAATAAAGAAGATGAACAGAGATGACAAAGACATAGCTGAATTACAAGAACAAATTCACAAGCTTCTGTTACAGGTAAAATGAGAGGGGTTTTTTTGTTTTTGTTTTTGTTTTTAGAAATACACAAAATTCCCATCATTGTGTTTTATTTTAATATTCTGTCTTAGTAAAGGCACCTCACAAAAGTTAACTGCAGAGAGACCTTTACCCTCTGCATTCCAGAAGGTTCTTTTTTGTTTTTAAATTAAATTTTATTAATCTTTTTTTCGTTTTTCTGTGTTAAATACACAGAACATTTTGTAAGAACTCATCTTAAAACAACAAAACTGAGTCACAGTGAGCGGTAAGACAGAGAAGTTATTTCTGAACAAGAGAATTATTCTTATGTTTATAGCTCAGCAAGTGTGCCCAGTCTCTGGGATTAGGAATTTTTTAGAATAATTCCAATTTTAAAGGTGGGGGAGAGTGCTGGCCAGTCTCAGTATCTGGTTATTAAAAGGCAAAAGTAGGAAAAGCTGCTTGTTGAAAACAAGTACCCAAAATGGTTTCTATTAGAGATTCAGTCAGTAAGCTTGTAAAGTATGTACTGATGGTGCAACAGGATCTTCCATAAAGTCTCTGGGGCTCATAAAGTCCTGGGAGTTCGTGGGGAAACTATGGTGCATATTTCATTTGTTTTGTCTGAACTCAGCATAAACAACAAGTTATTTTCATATTTTGGTAAAGTATACTATGGCCTTAAGTTTTTTTTTGTTCCAGAAATACACACATTGACTAGAAAACTAGATTTTGCCCTTGAAAATTACTAAGATGAGGGGAATGTCTTTCATGTCAGCATTAGGGTTAAATCACCTTCACACGCCTAATGTAGGGTTTCAGAAATATTAGTCTTAATTTTCTGGTGATTTAGATAAGCTCTGAGTCGATCATGCTGTATCTCTCCTCTCACCGCCAGATGGCCAGTAACCCCCAAATGGGCTTTTGTCCTTGCAGCCGGTCCACGTGAGCGCCTCCAGTGGCTACGGCAGCCTGGGCAGCAGTGGGTCACAGGAGCAGCACGTCAGCCTGGCCTCCAGCGAGTCCAGCGGGCCCTGCATGGAGGACACACCAAAGGAACCGGTGAGTGGCACACGTGCACCATCTGGCCGGTCCCCCGTGATGTGGCCCTGCACGGGTCCGCAGCTCCACACGCACTTCTCAGTGCAGGCTCTTGCCCTGGAGACCCTCCCTGAGAGGGAAATGGACATTCTCCATTTGAGTTGGGAAGCTGGCTGTAGAAAGAGAGCATTGCCTTTGAAAAGTGATATTTGGGTTAGTAGTGTCCTTTCTAAAAATTAGCATATTGTGAATCAGTATATTTAAAGTTTCGTTTGTACTGGTGACCTGGGTGGGAAACTGTATTCAGGTTATTACTGACTTTGCGTCATGTGTTCAGAGAACCAGACCTTAATGGATTTTGTCATGTGCCCTGATGTTCATTCTGTAACATCTGAAGCGTATTTTCTTCTTTTCCCAGTTGACTTTGCAGCAGGTCTGTGCCAGTGTGAACAAGATTAAAGCTCTGGGTCAGCAGCTGTATGTTGAGACAATGGCCAAATGCCCCAAGAAGCCGGTGGTGGGGACGCACACTGGACAGCCCGAGGGTGAGCCGGCAGGGCCCCTCCTCCTGCGTCTGTCCTCTGGCAGATGCCGAGCGTGTGAGCGCAAAGCCCTGATGGTTACTTGTGTAGTCATAAGAGTAGCGGTGGTAACGGCGGCAGCAAATACTACTCTGAAAGCTGAATGGTATCAGAATGTAGCTACAGTGTACTTGTCCTAAAGAATCGACGTTTCTGATAATACCAGCACATGCGTAGATCTCCCCCATGTGAGCTCTCTAGAAACCAGCAGTCAATTCTAGAAAACATTTCAGATAATAAACTATATTAAAATACTAATCCCTTTTTTTCCTTTCAAACAAATGGAGAATACTTATGACCTAAGTTGAATGAAAAACTTGGCATTTTTCTTGATACATGTGTGTGCTTTTCTCAAATGCGAGGTAAGCAGTGCTCCATAGGAATCATGTCAGTTGTGATAATTGCATTACTTTGAAATTTTAACCTACTTGCATTATATGGCAGAGGAAAGTTTGATAGACATCAAATTTTATTAACTTTGAGTTTAGCTAACTTGCCCTTCATTGTTCTCTCTGAATATTAATATAATTTTGGGAGTCATTACAGATTTGGGGCACCTAAATGTGATTATCATTGGCAGATGTGGATATTTTACACAGTATAGGTGAAATTTTTCTCTAAGGTCAATGATAATAATAGGTGCTATTTTTCAGGACTTGACCTGATTTACACAACAAAACCTCAAACTCCCGCTCCTATAGGTGGTATCACTGGGAGCCCATAGGATGCCCTCTGGGTTTAGCAGGTGGTCCCGTACTTCAGTGTTTTCTTTTCACCTTGGAAGGAGGCTTAGCATTCTGTTTCTTCCATAGATATAAAGGCACAAGATAGAAATAACTACTTCTGTCCCTTCAAACTATCAGATTCCCTCTCTACAAAAAAGTTCATCTTAAATATCTTTGGTGCTGTGTATCATTATCTCATGTCTTGGCAGAGAAAATTCTTTGGGTAGATTTTAAATCTAAATTTCCTAAATGTTTTCTTTGTTGTCCTCATGTTAGTGCCAGTTTTTCTCAGAGTAGAAATCCTTTCTCCCTCCTGCTTTATTCCTTTTCTTGTCATCTACCATTGGTCTGGTAGTACCATCAATACTGTGGTGTTTACGAGGCTATATATTCAAGCAGATATCAGTATTCCATCATTTACCATTTTATAAAACTTAAGCTATAGCTGTGTGTACTTAGGCTGCTGTTTTAGAAACTGAAATTTTCCTACTCCTTATATTTGACACACATAGGATGTGATTTTGGGGAAAAGAAAAATCTGTTGCCATTTGGTATGACTTCAGAGAACTAATGTTACTTGGGCATCTTGATTTTATTAACATTTTAAGACCAAGTTTAAAGAACTAGTGAAAAAATCTAGTACTCCTTACTCAAGAGAAATAAGTATGCAACTTAAGAATAAAAATGTTATAATTTAAATATTAGAAATTGAGTGGAGAATACACACCAATGAAAATGAAAATACTAAGTGATTATTATGCGTGCTCTGTGTACAGGGTACCAGAGCCAACAAGAACACCAGGTTTTACGTTTTTATGTTTACCTTTCTTACAAGGGCAGATTATACTTGACGGTAAAATGAGAAGAGAAATTTTAGAACTTAATAGGAAAGAGCAAGGAGCAACAAAGAGAGAGAGCGCCTTCAATAGCTAGACTGAAGCCAGCTGCAAGAAAAATTAGGGGAAATTGGATGGTCCTCTTCTGGGAGGATGCATTGCCTGCATGAAAACAGATATCCATAAACGGAAGTAATTCAGAGTGAATTACCCAGTAGTTTGACCCACCAGTTTTATTCCTTGATAATCTTTGCCTCAATTATTTGTCTCCTTTAAAAAAACAAAACAAATGTAGTCATTCATGTAACCATTCTATGCGGATCTCTTTCTGTATCAGCGCATTTAGATCTGAGCTCATTTTTAATAGCTGCGTAAAGTTCTGTTAAATGTTTATTCTAAAAGACTATGATTTAATTTTGCTAAATAATTACATGTTCTTAAGAATAATGCATTTTTAATTCTACATACTTTTATTCTGTTTTAGGTGAGCAGAAGGCCGTTTCTTCTTTAAAGACCTTGAAAAATAACAGCATGTACACTGAGTCTTGTGAGGATCTGAGAAAAGATCAGCATAGCCCATCGTATCAGCAAATAAACTGCATTGATAGTGTTATCAGGTATGAAGCACGCATTTTAATAACATGTTTTTCCAAAAGCACACATTGTCCCCGTGGAGCCCTTCCATAATTTTAATAGCTGTTGTCTCTATTTTTCACAATAAATTGACAGATATTTATGGAATAAATCAAGGAATAAAACTAGTGGGTCAAACTACTGGGTAATTCACTCTGAATTACTTCCGTTTATGGATATCTGTTTTCATGCAGGCAATGCATCCTCCCAGAAGAGGACCATCCAATTTCCCCTAATTTTTCTTGCAGCTGGCTTCAGTCTAGCTATTGAAGGCGCTTTCTCTCTCTTTGTTGCTCCTTGCTCTTTCCTATTAAGTTCTAAAATTTCTCTTCTCATTCTACCTTCAAGTATAACCTGCCCTTGTAAGAAAGGTAAACATAAAAACGTAAAACCTGGTGTTCTTGTTGGCTCTAGTACCCTGTACACAGAGCCTGCTACATGCAGTTCATAACATACCCAACGTTTCGGAGGGTGCAAGCCATTAGAAAATGCATTCCTTTCTTTGAAGGAGTAGTTGGGAAGACAAGACCTGTGCTTGTCGAATTTAAATGGTGCAAGATTTGAAGATCAATTCAAGACCGTGGTGAAAGAGAGATAACCACCCAGTGATTCAGGCTGGGATGGCCAGGGAGGACTCCATCAAAGAAGAAAGTACAAGGTCAGCATCATGGCAGCATGAGTTGTTTTTTTCTCTCTCCTTCAATTTCCAACTAATTGGACATCCATAATCATAAAAAGTGCCTCTGCACAGCATGACGGGACACGGAGAGAGACATCCGCCTGTGCACCTGAGAGTGGTTGGAGTGGACCGAAGGAGTGGCAGCGGAGAGGGCAGCAGTAGGTCCAACATGGGCCAGCATGACCTTTTTGACTGAGGAGATGGTGGGTTATGGTGGAGAGGGGAGGTTCAGCCCAGCCATGGGTTCTGCAGTTGAAGGAATTCGTTGCTCTCTCTGAGGAGACACCACAGTGATGGGGCAGGGGAAGGAAAGGGAAGTAGGCAGAGATAACTGAAGGGAAGTGTCTGCCCGGGATTCTGGCAAGAGGACAGCCCACAAACCTCTGGGGACCTCCAACCCAACATGAGGATTCCTCTATCAGGTCATGGGCACACCTAAAGCCCCAAGTGCTAAGTACACAATTTTCCCCGCTCTACCACCACCCTTATGTTTTCCTTTTGGCAGCTTTTTAACAGTGTATGTACTCCCAACCTGAGCTCTGGTAAGACAAAGCAAAACCTTGTTACCATAGCTCCTCCTCCTGGAAAACAAAAGGAAGGCTCCTAATTGCCAACCTGTTGAACTGTTAGAATCAAACAAGTCCTTGTCTGAATAAGAAAGGTGTTTGCTCCTTCAGATGCAGTGGCGGAGGCACTTTTCACCAAACACCAAGAAAGGCATGGAAATAAAATATCACAAAGAAAATAGCAATTTCCCGACAAATTGAAAGGCATCTAACTGCTGAAAAATTCACAATAACTACTATGAAGAAACTCAACAAGCTACAAGAACACTCAGGCGATGCAATGATCTCAAGAGCGAAACTGGTGCATAGAAAGAGCACTTTACCAAAGAGACTGAAATTCCCAAAAAGAACCAGACAGGTTCTGGAACCGAAGGACTCTGTAAATGAGAGAAAGCACCACTGGAGAATACAACAGGTCGGGTGGAAGAGAATTAATGGGATGGAAGATAGGACTGTAGAAGTGATTAAGGTTGAAGAGAGAGAGAACTAAGCTTTTTAAAAAGTGCATAAACCCTCTGAACTATTGGGCATCATTGGGAAGCCAACAGAAGAATTAAGAGGTACTGCAAAAGGAGTGGCATTCAGCATTATTTGATACCAAAACCAGATAAGGGTACCGCAGGAGAGCACTATAGACCAAAATCCCTGATGAATATAGATGCAAACATTCTCAACAAAGTAGTAACCAATTAAACAATACAGTAAAAGGGTTATACCCCGTGAACAAGTGGCATTTACCCCTGGAATGCAGAAAGAGCATTTGAGAAAATGCAACATCCTTTTATGATTTAAAAAAAACCTTTAACAGATTGGGTATAGAAGGAACACACCCCAACATAGTAAAGACCGTATACAACAAACCCACAGTTAACGTTAGTCAGTGGAGAAAAACTGGAAGTGTTTTCTCTAAGCTCAGTAACAAAGATGCCCACTCTCATCACTCGAATTCAATATAATGCTGGAAGTCCTAGCTAGAATAATTATGCAAGACAGAGAAATAAAAGCGTCCAAAGTGGAAAAGAGGAAGCAAAAGTGTTGCTATTTGCTATGATATGATGTTACATATAGGAAATCCAAAAGAGTTAGTAAAAAAATTGTTGAAACTATCGGTGTCAATAAAGTGGCAGGATACAAAATCAACATACAGAAGTCAATTGCATTCCTTTACAATGAGGAAGTATCTGAAAAAGAAATAAAAGCATCCCATTCACAGTACCATTGAAACAGTAAGATAGGAATAAATTTAGCCAAGGAAGTGAATAGTCTGTACAATGAGAACTACAGGAATTTGCTGAAAGAAAGCGAAGGAGTCAGCAAATAGAAGGACATCCCATGTTCATGGACGGGGAGCATTGATACTGTCAAAACGCCCATGCTCTCCAAAGCCATCTGCAGAGTCTGTGCAATCCCCGTCAAAGCGCCAAAGGCATTCTTTGCAGAAATAGAAGAAACAACCCTAAAGTTTGTGTGGAATCACAAAAGACCCCAAGCAGCCAAAGCAGTTTTGAGGAAAAGGGACAAGTGCAGAGGCATCACACTTCCAACTCTGAAGCTACACAGAATTACGGTAGTAAAAATAGGGCATGGATATGACACAGGCACACAAGTGGACACATCGGCCAGTGGACCAGAGTAGAGCACCTAGAATTTAACCTAGCACATATTCAACTAATACTTGGCAAGGGAGCCAAGATACCGAGGAGGAAAAGGACTGTTCTTTACAAGTGGTGCTGGGAAACTGGGGAAACATGTAGCACAGTGAAATTGGGCCCCTGTCCAACAGCACTCAGAAACATTTGCTCAAAGTGGATCAAAAACTTAAACATAAGACCTGATACCATAAAACTGGAAGAAAACATTGGGAAGAAGCTCACTGATACTGTTCTTGGCAGTGATTTTTTTTTTTTAATATGACACCAAAAACAGCATCATCAGTGTTAACAAGGGGAACTACCTCTACCTCCAAAGCTTCTGCACATGCACAGCAAAAGAAACAACAAAATTAAAAGACAGCCTTCAGAATGGGAGAAAATTTTGTAAACCCTCTATCAGATAAGGGAGTTAACATCCAAAAAATACAAGGAAGTGAGTCAACAACAACAAAAAGCAATCTGATTTAAAAATAGGCAAAACTAAATAGACATATTTCCAAAAAGGACATCAAAGTGGCCAACAAACACATGAAATCATGCTCAGCACCACTAATGGGAATGCAAATCGAAACCACAATAATGAGAGATTATCACACACCTATCAGAGTGGATATCATCAAGAAGATGAGACAGGTGATGGTGAGGATGTGAAAAGGAAACCCTTATACATTGTAGGTAGAAATGTAAATTGGTCCAACCGCTATGGAAAACAATATGGAAGCTCATCAAAAATTAGAAATAAAACTACCATACAGTTTAACTTCTGAGTATATACCCAAAAAAAGCAAAAACAGGATTTTTGACCAGGTATATGCACTCGCATGTTTACCACAGCATTATTCATGATAGCCAAGATATGGGAACAACCCAAATGCCCACCAACAGATGGATTTTCAAAAGGTGGTATGTGCACAATGGAATATTATTCAGCCATAAGGAAGGAAGATATCCTCCCACCTGCAACAACATGGCTGGACCTTCAGCACAGTATGCTAAATGGGATAAGTCAAACAAAGTCTAGTGCTGTAGGATAGCACTTATATGTGGGACCTAAAAACATTAACCCTATAAAGAAGAGTAAAATGAGGATTACCAGGGGATGGGGTGGGGGGTAGTGTGATGGTGTGTAAGGGTTCAGACTCATGACAAGTGGTAAATGAGCCATAGAGATGCAGTGCACAGTATAGTGAGCATACTCAGTAACATCACACTGAGTTATGTCAGGTGATTAATAGCTCTACATCTGCAGTCACATGACATTGTGTAAGTACATCATCTTAAACTTATACAATGTTACATGTCAGATGTACTCAGTAAGTAAAAGAAAGTACAGTGTATCTCAGAAGTGGTGTGAGAAAAGCAAAGAGGGAGATGGCAAAGTTAGGGGTCAGGTAAGAACGGTGACCTCATTGTGTTCTGCAGATACCTGAAGAGCTGCAACCTTCCAGCTTTGAAAAGAAAGTGTATCTCCTGTACGAACACGACCTCATCCTCAGAAGAAGACCGACAGAACCCCAGGGCAGATGGTGCCCAAGCCTTGCAAGGTAACAGGAGCTCTTCATAGTTAAATAAAAAGAGTTACTACAAAGCCACCCCTTACTCTCCATTTCTCTTTAGTTTTGTAGCTTTAGTTATTTCATTGTAATCATGAATGGTCCTAGTTTCACAGTCCTCTTTATGGCCCATAGGTTGTTATCTGTCAGTTATAAATGTCTGAAAACTGTTTGGTCTTTGACATAAATTTCCTGTTGGGAATTTTTCTTTTCACTATTAGTCTCTCTTATGTCCCCAGCTGTTTCTCAGATCCCAGCCATGCCTACATCGGAAGTGCCAGCTAATGGACGGTCCACGGACAACGAAGGAGGAGCTCCACGGACCCTGCCCACGGCGGCACTGAGCCCGGGCTCTGACATAAGCCAGTGCAGTTACAGCAGCACCATGGTTCACGTCCCGCCACCAGAGCCAGGTACCACGCTCACCTCCGACTCCACACTACATATGCTGCTATGAGAAAACAGTCAGTGATGCCGTGTACTTAGTAATAACTTCTAAATCTTTGGAAGTGTCATGTTTATGTTGGTTACATATGTATATATATTTTGGACTGTGTTTCTTAGTTATGTCGTTTGTGTGAAGCGCTCGGAACACTGGTCGTAGCAGTGAGCCCTCAACCAGAGTTAGCCGTTCATGCAGCAGGGCCACCTGGTTGCTGACCTCGAAAGGTCTCAGACTGTAGTTGTGCCTGGAGAGGTCACGGGTATGGATAGAAATTTCTGTGGTCTGATCACCCCCCTTGTTTATCGGTGTGGTGACTTGGTAGATTACTCCGATGTCGTCTTCCTTCTCACTGCCACCCCCTCCTTTGACTGTTTCATTGCTCATAGCAGTTTGGCGGATGGAGAAGTAGCACAGCTGAGTTAAATCGGGTTTTCGGATTAGCTCTAATTTCTCTCTGCTGGTGCTCCGTGATACATTAACACGTGCTAAGCTCTTCCTCTGTCCCACTCCCTGTCCTTAGTCCGTCCTAGAAATTTAACTCCTTTACGCCTCACAGCCACCCTTGAGGTGGAGAGTGTAGTACTGATGGGTGGGCTGCAGCTTGGTGGGAGAAGACCTCGGACAAAACTATTGAGACAGGTTGTGTTGCTGGTGAACCAGAGATAGCCTGTTGATTTTTAAACCACAGGATATATTAAAGGTTTAAAAATAAATTCAAAGATAAAAAGAAACATTTTGAAGAGTTCAGGGAGATAGATACAAAAATATTTACAATAAAAGCAAGATTTAAATACCTAAGTCTGCACACTGAGTATCACAACACTGTAAAACACGTGTACAGGTGTACAGAGGGTAAAGGCAGGCGGGAGAAAGTAGGAAGAATTGTGCGCTAGGTTGATGAAGTTTTTAGATTCCAGCTGTTGTACTGTTTGTAAAACTTACTGAAAGATGGTTAATTTGGTGAAAATAAGTAATTGCAATAGTAGCAATTAAAATGAAATGTTCCTTCACCTCAGCAGAGTCGCCTGCAGCCTGTGAGCCGACGCCCGGCACGCAGTGGGCCCCGCTGACCCTGACCGCAGAGCTCAGGCGCTCGGGGCTCACCAGGGCTGTGCTGTCGGCGCACACGCGGAGGGAGGAGCAGCACTACGTGGGCCGGTTCCGGGAACAGATGCTGTCCTCACCCTACAGCTGCCACCTCCCGCACGGAAGTCCAAGCAGAGCCAGACACTCACGCACGCAAGGTAGGTGACTTCTCTGGAACGCGTTCATTGACCTGCCTCACCCTGGATTTATGAGTCGCCTGTGGGTGCTGGGAGGTGGGGGCGATGGAGTGGGAGGAACTGGCTCAGATGCTGAGATCGGTCTCTGAGCTGCCTGTTGCCTGCCCTCGGTTTAGGTCTGAGCAGCTGACTGAAGGGAGTTTCTTTTACAGCAACTGCTTTCACCCCAGCAGACGCGCTTAGTCCTCCCCCCTGCAGTTACCTGCACACGGCAGCCTCCACTTTGGGTCGGTTGCCTTACTGCGCCTCCCTCTCTGTCCTCAGGAGAGGCGACTTCCAGGCAGACTGGCTCAGCTGGTGGCAAGAAGGGGAAGCACAAGCGGAAGAAGCTGCTGGAGCCACAGGATGGCCAGTGCGCCAGGAACAAGGACACTTTCTGTCCCCATGTCAGAACTGACGTCCAGAACGTGCAGCCCTGGTGCCCGTCCCCGGCCTCCCCTCTCCATGTCCCCAGCCTGCCGTTCCCGGCTGCGGGGGTGGCTGCCAGCCAGGCCCCTTACCTCGTACCAGCATTCCCCCTGCCCACTGTGACTTCGCCGGGGGCAGAGCATGCAGCCTCAGTGACAGCACCAGACTGTCTGCCCAAGCCACCTTTCCCAGCTGTCCCTTCGCCTTACGTGGACACTTTTCTGACCATTTTGCTGCCTGACTCCCATGTGTATCCTCTGTTGGCACCATCATTCTCTCCATACCTGCTTTTGGGGGCAGCAGGCCCTTCTGAAATAGCACCCTCAATATCAGCAGTGGCTCCAGATGTGGAAGCAGCATTTCCAGTCACTGACCAGAGGAGAGCTGGGGAGAACTGGGAGGCCCAGAGTGAAGGGCACCCGTGCACCACCTCCAGGAGCAGCTCACCGCTGCAGCTGGACTTGCTCCAGGAAGACGTGCCCTGGTCCTGCGAGTCTGCAGAGCAGGTGAGGAGTACTGCCCAGATGAGTATGTGAGGGACACCGACTTTCAACACACGACTGAGATTATCAGAATTGAGCGTCTTACACTGGGGCTCCGCCCAGAGGGTCTGAACGGGTGACCCATGTTTCCACTGGGCTGCAGGCTGTGAGCGCTGGTCTCCAGAAACATGCGCCATACTTTAAAAGCGGGAATGAGAATCTGCTGTGTCCTGGTTTCTCAGACACTTTTTGTGTGGTTTTCCCAAAGTGCTTTCAGGTTTTCTATATGAACAAAGGTTTTTCCCCTTTAAATCTATTATCCAAGCATTAGACTAAACATATTCACTGCCTATAAAATGTGTTTTCTTACCTACAACTGAGGTTATGGTCTGGTAAGACAAGAACAAGCCACACTGACAAGACATGAATTTAGCAATTTTACTTTTTTGGGCCTAGTTGTAGTACAGCAGTTGTGTGCGGAGGGGGTAGGAGATAGTCAGTACTCACTAAAGTAGGCAGTTGATAGTTTCACATTTATACATGTCACTTTCAAAAAGGAAGGCTTTTTAGTGTTTCCTTTAACTTTTCACCCCTTTGCCTAAAAAAGACATTCTCAGATTACCAGGTTAGACTGGAACAGGAGCCAAGACAAGTGCCAATTTATAGTTTTCCTCATGCTTCCCTTCAGGATCAAGAAAGTCTGATCCAAATCAAGAAAGTGTGCTGCTTAACAGCCTGATACCAGTGCACTTGCTGGACCTGAGGCCCGGTGGCGCGCCTCAGTGAGCCAGGCCAGGCCTGTGGAGTGAGATGGGCTCAGATCCCAGCCCCGTCGCTTGTTACTCGGTTCGCTTAGGCAGGTTATTTAACCTTCCTTTGCCTTTGTTTCCTTATTTGAAAAAGATTAATACTTCACAGTATTCTGAGGATTACATAAAGTAATATTTATGGAGTTCTCCCCGCCCCCCGTGCAGTGTGAGTTCCAGGATAGCAGGACCTTTGTTCTGTTCACTGTTTTATTCCTAGTATTTGGGACACTGTTTAGAACATACAACATGTTCAGTACACCTTTCCTGAATGACAAAAAAAATTAAAGCACACATCTGCACATCTGTATGGTCTGTGGCATGTAATAGGTACTCAAGAGAACAATAATATCTTGAAAATTACATACAAAGGAACTTGGGCCCCATTATTGGGGGCAGGCTGAAATGTTTAGCTTCTCAGCTATACCTAGCGTTTTATTCTGTTTAATGTGTGAGGCTGAAGATCTAGATATTTTGTAATATGATGCTTGAGGTGTTAAAGTGTTTTCTTGTGTTCTTACTTTCCAGCAGTGTGTTACAGGCAACAGTGGAAAGAACACCCACCATTTTACTGCCAGTGACCTGTGCATGGTGCCCCTTCCCAAGGAGTCTCCATCTGGGCCTGGCTCTGCAGCATCAGGTAGTGGATCCAGGTGACATGGTCCTCAGGCTCTGCCGCCAGGAGGTCACTGTGTGACGATGGGCTGTTTGGTCTCTGCACTGGTGTGGAAGTCAAGTGTTTTTCCTGTTTTCTTTTTGTAAGCTTTATTGGGGTATAGTTATTTACATACACAAACTACACCAAATTTAGATGTGCAAAACAAGAATTCTGAGAAACACATACATTAGGGTACCGCCACCACAGTCACATGGAACATTTCCATCCCTGGGAAAGTTCCCCTGCGACATTGCAGTCAGCCCCCCCCTTTCTGCATTTGCTCTGCATCACCTGAGGGTTGTTCTTTCTACAAAGCCATGTGAATTGAATGACCCAACAGTCTTTGTGTTGCAGTCTTTGTGTCGGGACTCTTTCAGTGCGCACACTGCTGCTAAGTTTCATCAATTGCCCCTGTCAGTAGCGTGTGCCTCGTATTGATGAGTAGAATTACATTGTATGGGTATCCATTCACCATTGATGGTTATTGGGTTTCCAGTTTAGGACTGTTAATGCTGCGATGAGTCTTTTTGTGGATATGTGTTCTTTTCTCTCTGGTAGAAACCTAGGAAGGAAATTGCTAGGTCATGTGTATGGTTAACTTTATAAGAAACTGCCAAACTGCTTTCCAAAGTGGCAGTACCATTTTGTATGCCTGTCAGCAACGTGTGAGAGCTCCAATTTGCAACACACCCTGGCCAGCACTGGTATTGTCCGTCATAAGTTTTAGCCATTCCAATGGGTCTGTCCGTGATCCATTTTCAGTTAATTTTAACTATGTTGTGAGGTTAGGGTCGATATACTTTCCTTGCATACAGGTATCCAATTGTTCCTGCCCCATTTGTTGAAAAGGTTAATCTTTCCCCCACTGAATTACCATGGCACCTTTGTCGAAAATAAATTGGTCATATATGTTCAGGTGTGTTTCTGGGCTCTGTGTTCTGTTTATCTTTACGGCTAGCTTTAGGGTAATCCCACATTCATTTGATGTGGGATTTCAAGTAATTTCAACTCTGTTCCTCTTTTCAAAATAATTCTGGATATTGTAGGTCCTTTGTCCACATAAATTGTAGAATCAGGTTCTTAGTTTCTACAAAAAAAGCCTGCTGGATTTTGGTTAACATTGTGTTGAGTCTATAGGCCAGTTTCAGAAGAATTATCACCCTAACAGTATTGAGTCTTCTGTTCCATGAGCATGATGTTTCTTTTTTATGTAGGTCTTTAATTTTTCTCAGCAGTGTTGTAGTTTTCCATGCACAGATCTTACATGTACATATTTTGCTAAAATTATCTAAGGATTTTGTATATTAGATGACATTTTAAAATTCCAATCTCCAGTTGTTTGTTGTTAGCATATAGAACTTCAACCAGTTTTGTATTTTGAACTTCTGCTGACTTGTTGGACTAGCCAGGACCCCAGTGCAGTGTTGAGTAGAAGTAGTGAGACAGACGTTACTGCCTTGTTCACAGAGCTGCACCGTGAAGTATGACATCAGATGGGGTTTTCCTTAAATGTTCTTTGTCGATGAGATTGAGGAAGTTCCTTTTCTACTGTTAATTTCCTGAGGTGTTTTTTTCTGCACCTGTTGAGATAATCATATCGTTTTCCTCCCTTATTTTATTAATATGGTGTATGTCATTAATTAATTCTCAAATCGTTAACCTTGTACTTGGTCATGCTGTTTAATGCTTTTAATATATTGCTCGTTTCTGTATCTAATAGTTTATAAAGGATTATGCACCTATTATGAGAAGTGTTTTTTTATTGTTTTCTCTTCTTGTAATGTCTTTGGCTGTTTTGGGATCCGAGTAATGCTGGCTTTAAAAAGAATGAGTTGGGAACTGTTCCCGCCTCTTCTCTTTTCTGGAAGAGTTTGTTTCGAATGGATACTTTATCATCCTTACATGTTTGGTAGAATTTCACCGGTGAAGCCATCTGGGCTGAAGTTTTCTTCTCCCATCTGGGAGAAGGTTTTTAACAGTATATTTAATTTCTTTAATAAATTGGTATCTATTCAGGTTTCTGTTTCTTCTTGAGTGACCTTGGGTAATTTATATTTTTCAAGGATTTTGTCCACTTTAAGTTGTAGAATTTCGTTTCATGAAGCTGTTTATAATATTCCTTTATTCTTTTAATGTCTGTAGAATTTATTGTACTCTTAGTGCTGGTATTAATAATTTTTTCCTGATCTGACTCTGTTTACCAATTATACTAACTTTTCAGAGAAGCGACTTTTGTTCAACTTTTTTCGATATTTTGGTTTGGTTTTGTATTTTATCTATTTCTGCTCTAATCTTTCTTCTGTTGACTTTGGATTTTATTTACTCTTTTTCTAATTTCTTAAGGTGGAAGCTTAGACCACTGATTAGATACCTTTTGTTCCTGCCAATATAAACATTTAATGCTTTCTGTTTCCCTCTAAGCAGTGCTTTACCTGCATCCCTCAAATCTTGATGTGTAAGTTTTTATTTTCATTAAATCTAAAGTATTTTCTAATTTCCATTGTGTTATCTTCTTTGAGCATAGGTTATTAGAAATGTATTTAATTACATAATATTGGGATTTTTCTAGATATTTCATTGGTTTCTAACTTAATTGCAGTCAGAGCACATTCTTTGTATTTTTTTAATTTACTGAGACTTGTTTAATAGTCCAGAATTTGGTCTCTCTTGGTCATTGTTTCAGGTGCACTTGAACATGTTCTGTAGTTGTTGAGTTGTGTCTCCTATAAATGTAAACTAGGTCAAGTTGGCTGAAAATGTTGGTCCAGCCTTCTACATCCTGATTTTCCATCTACTTGATTTATCAGTAATTAAGACAGGGCTCTTAAAATGTCCAACTATAGTTGTGAATTTGTCTCTTTTTTCTTGCAATCCAATCAGTGTTTGCCTCATGTATTTTGAAGCTCTTTTATTAGGTGCATACATATTTAAGATTGTTATGTCCTTTTGATGAATTGATCCCTTTATTATGATATGTACCTTGCTTTGAAATCCCCTTTGTCTGATACCAGTGTATCCACTCCAGCTTTATTTTGATGAGTGTTTACATGGCATATCTTTTTTCATCTTCTTACTTTTAACTTGTATGTGTCTTTATATTTATAAAGTTGACTTTTGGTAACCACCATATAGTTGGGTATTGCTTTTTTATCCATATGGCAATCTTTGCCTTCTAATTGGAGTATTTAGACCATTTACATCTAATGTGATTGTCAGTGTGGTCAGGGTGAAATTAAATCTTTCATCTTGCTACTTGTGTGATATCTCACATCATCTGCTTTCTTCCTTTTTTCTTCCTCCCCTCTTCCTTTTGGGTTAATTGTGTACATTTAACAATTCTGTTTTCTCTCTCTTATTGGCTTTTCAGCTATACTACTTTTTCTTTCTTTCTTTCTTTCTTTCTTTCTCTTTTTTTCAGTCATTGCTCCAGGATTTGCAAGTGCATCTTTTATTTATCACAGTTTATATTCCAATATGATACTTATTATATCATTTTATGTCTAAGAACCTTAAAACGGAGTACTTCCATTTTCTCCTTTTGTCTTTATGCTATTTTTATCATATATTTTCCTTCTACGTGCATTATAAACCCACAATAAAATTGTTACTGTTTTTGCTTTATTTATTTTTTTAAATATATCTTTATTGATTTCCAAGAGAGGAAAGGAGAGGGAGAGAGAGAGATAGGAACATCAGTGATGAGAGAGTCATTGATCGTCTGCCAGCCGCAGCCTGGGCGTGTACCCTGACTGGGAATCGAACCCCGATAGCCTGGATCCTAGATCGACGTTCAACCCCTGAGCCACGCCCAGCCAGGCCACATCTGTGGTTTTGATAAGAACGGAACTGATCATTGGCTTTATCAGAGTGGACATTCTGATAGGAAAAGTCAGAGGGAAAAGAAATCTAGGGTGTCGCAAAGAGTGCTAGTGGATGGTGGCCTTTGGGCTCCAAGCTGGATGGTGAAGGCACCGTTCCAGACTTGCAGGTGAACAGCAAAGAGCCAAGTGAGAAAGCGAAGCTGAGGCGTTAGTGATGCAGGAGGTGGAGCTGAGGCAGCAGTTGCCGGTGGGCGGCTATGAGCATGAGTGTAGCTTGGGGCGGGGAGCAAGGTCTTGGGAAGGTCCAGCAGCTGCAGGGCTTGTCCAGATGGTGGCTGCTCCGAGTGGAGAAGATCGGGTCGCGGTGGAAGTCTTTGAAGAGTGAGGGCCAGTTTGGCAAGTCGGTCCCTGACAGGCATCTTCTGATTTGTTACTGTGTTGATTCTCGATAGGAAGCAGTGATAGCAGCATGTATTTCACTAGTAGTGATTGCTCTTCTGAAATCACCCATGATGGGCAGCAGCCTCGGGATGTGCAGGAAAAAGAGGCATTTCCCAGTTCCGCCGAAGAGCCCATCTGGAGAATGATAAAGCAGACGCCCGAGTGCATTCTCATGACGTATCAGGTGCCAGAGAGGTAGGAAAGCACCCTGGAGGACCTGCTTTTATACGAGTTTCTTAGTGGTTTCTTAAGTCTGTTTGTGAAACAAAGTGATTTTTTTTTTTAATCCTCACCTGAGGATATTTTTTCCATTACTTTTCAGAGAGAGTGAGGAGAGAGAGAGAAACATCGATGTGAGAGAAACACATGGATTGGTTGCCTCCCGCACATCCTCCGACAGGGGCCAGGGATCGAGCCTGCAACCAATGTAAGTGCCCTTGGCTGGAATCAAACCCAGGACCTTCAGTCCACGGGCCGGCACTCTCACCACTGAGCCAAACTGGCCAGAGCAGTACAAAGTGATTTTTAAATGTTTTTATGCATACCCTTAGGGAAATGTATTTTCAAATTCATTCATTCATTTGAAGTCAAATGACAAATGATTTCTTGAAGCAGTGGTCACAGTGGGAGTGCCACACGTGTGCAGATCCAGACTAGACAAATGCCATCGTGACACAGGAGGGCAAAAGAAAAGGCTGCTTCCCAAGGTGGCACATAAGTAAAGGGGCTTTTCTTTTTAGACTAGATTTTTTTCCACTGTGAAAGCAGGAGAATTAAGGGAAACGTGTTTCTTCTACATGCCTCGTTAGAGCACTATGCAGATGTCCTGCACCAAGAAAGAGGCTTGGCTCTTCTAGCTGGACAGAGAAATGATTCATTTATGTTTAATGTGTGCATCGTGTATTAAAAGAGATAGAAATAACATTACAAAACAAGAATTGCTGCTCTTAGGTAACATGATAAGAACCCTGGGCCTTGCTCAGGACTGTTAAGGTTTTGTTTGTCGTTTATTTTCAGGGTTAAAGAAATTGTACTGAAAGAAGACCTAGAAAAGCTGGAATGCATGAGGTGGCAGCAGCCACAGTTTTCTCCTGGACAGAGGGAGGAGCTGGCCAAGGAGCATTCTTGGATTCAGAGCCAGACCCTCCCTCAAGAAATAGACATCCAAGTAAGCACAGTGGTAGCGGCTGTCACAGGTCGAGTTTCCCGGGCCAGGTAGCGTTCTAGGTACTTGATAAGCATCGCACGATCCCACTGAAAATTTTCATCCTCACGATGACTTCTGTGGTAAACGTTATCATTCCTGCTTTAGCAATAAACAACAAAGTGAGGCACACAGATATTAAAATAACTTGTATAAGGTTATACAGTTCATCGGATTTTAAATACAGGTCTTTTTGACTGCAAACGGTTTTTTCCTTCCACTAGTTGGAATATTATGGGCAATAAGGAGTAAAGACACCTGCTCTGGTATGTGATTGACTAGGGCAGGGAGTGTAAGAGATTTGCATTTCAAATATGCATGCGTGTTTGACAAGAGTTCAGACCCAAGATGTAAGATTCGCACCAGAGGTAGTATACCCAGCAGGAGTTTCCATGGGACCCAGGCGGTCTTTTTGCTCTGATGAGATCTTCACAGTGAGATCATACCTGAGCAGCCTGAACAGGGAAGCCCTCAATTACTGGTGGCCCCAGGGGCTGGTTCTGTAGTGATGGTTGTGACAGTTGGGGGGAGGGCGGTGTGCAAAGACAAAACTTATAACGAGAGTAAAGGTAGGTGTCCAGAAAGTGTACAGTAAGGCTTATGGATTAAACAAGTCATAGGAATCTTCCCCACCCCATTTCTAAAGAAAGGAAAACAAGCCTGTCATTCAAGGGTGGCTAGATACGGCCTCATCAAAGCACAAGAGCTGGGCTGGTTACTATAAGTGTCTTTATTTTTTAAATATTGTTTTTCTTGTTTTTGAGTAGAAGGGTATATGAAGAATGAGCCCCAAACAATTTAAACAAAACTTTAAAAAAGTTGCTGTCATTTACCTTCTAATATAATAAGGAATGAGCCTTAACGGGTATTCTTAGATATGAATGGGTAGGGAAACTAGACATAGATTGCTTGGTCAGCATTTTGCTGATTTTAAAACTGTTCAGATGACATTACCTCAAATAACCTGCCTGCTCTCGTTCTTTCTTGGAGGGCTGTGTCACTTGCAAAAACAAAGATTCAGTTGGTGATGCAGTAGGAGCCTGTGGTCAGGACCCAGCAGAAGACAGCAGTTGAGTGACTGTGGAGGTGCCCAGCACACCCTCCCCGGACATCTCTGAACTCCCCGGACTCTTAAATGACCACGAAGTTATCATTAAATGTTATCTTCTTGGCTTTTTAATAGACATCATTTTTCTGAAACAGACTTTGTATATAGAATCTTTTCCTTCTCCCTGTTCCTGATGTATCACAACTGTTAGTAGGCTTTTTTTCTGGTTTCACTGTCTTTGAAAGAGATTGGATAGTCTGGAAAAAGGTATGTGTACAGCAAAATAAATGATAATAGAAATATAGCTGCAAAGAGCCCCAGTCCAACCTTAGCCTCACTGCTTTTGCCCTGCTGTTACATAAATCATTCCCCCGGTCAGAGTATGACAGGAAGCCCTGCCTTGCACTTTCCTAGTGGTTTCCAGAAACTTAGTGTTCAGTCTGCACAGGTGATGCCTCCCCCCAAAGTTAGCATCGGACACCCCCGTGTGCTCACAGCACACAAGCCAGTCGGTGCTTGCTGATGTTGGCACGTGCTGCCCAGCTCTGAGGGGCATCTCTACTTCCTCCTTACAGAGCCTTCCTCTCGGGAGCCTCATCTTCAAAACCTCTCCGCTAATGAGGAGCTTATGGGGGGGAGGTTGAAATTAGCTTTTACATGTGTCATTTTAAAACAAAAGAGCTTCTAACTCAACCAGTGGTATTTCCTTTTTAATGCTTTTTGTTTTTAAAATGATGATTGTAAATAGTTTTGTAAAAATCTTGGCCTTATATGTGTCTGTGTTTAAACCAAAACTAACAGTTAAGTCTTTCTTTCCAACTAATTTACACCAAAAAGGCCTGCATCCCTACCAGAGGTCTGGTGGGCACTGCCTTTTGTTTGCCCTTAAACAGGAGGGGCCTCAGTGAGAGGGTCTGGGGAGCTCGGACGGGGCGGGAGCAGACCCGCGGTAACTGAGCTGCGCAGGCTGCGCTGTGTCCCTTAGAGTGACTGGGCCGAGACCTTGACGAGTCCTCTCAGACTTGGAGCCACGTGTGCGGTTCACTCCCATGCAGGTCAGAAAAGGGAAATAGAAGCAAATGGAGGTTACAGAGACCTTTCATCTTCACAAACTAGCGTCTTTCTCTTTTTTGTTGTGTTTTGTGTGTGCGCTTTATTTTGCTTCAGGAACACACTTCCTCCTCCGAGCTTTCTAGCTTTTCATGGCGTGCGTCCTGACAATGGTTAGGACAGCCAGCCTCTTTGTCCGTGGGGACCGCTGGACCTGATTCTCAATCCCCGCAGCTTAGATTTTCTTTCGAAAGTGGTAGTTTCCTGGAAGGGAATTCTGTCTTAAGGTGTCAGAACCTTTCTCAGATGCTACCTATGACATTTCTAGGAATTTTTTTAATATTAAACAGCTCCGTGTTTTATAAAAAGAGAACTCTGATGTTCTACTCCATCTTATTGTTAAATGATTTCGGAAGCCCTCATTGCATTGGTCAGGTTGTGTGGTACTTTTTTATTTTTGCCTTCAGTGAAGAGTATCAATTTTTAAAAAATCATCCTGGATATTGTCCATCAGTACAATCATTGTAACCTTCTGTCGCGATAAAATTTTTAATTTGAGCAAATCAGAAATGACGTGAAGCTGTCAGAGGATCACTCTGCACTTGTGTATGTAATGTATATTTATACTTTAAACCTCATGTTCTCTAATAACACATGCCCTTTTCCGTTCCTTCTGGGTACTGGCTGTATCTAAACTGGCTTGCTGCTTTGCCTTAGTACATGTTTTACCAAGTGCACACTATTCTGGGCTTGATTTGAAACTGGTGCTCATTGTAGGCAGATTCCTCCAAGCATTTATATTCCCAGATTTTGACATGTAGATTAGTTGGTGTATTTAGAGACTGTGCTGCAAAGCTCCTGCTTCTGAGGCGGGAGAGGGGTCAGCAGTGACAGCCACTGCCCCCCACGGGGGCTCCACCCAGCTCTGCCCTTTGTCATTCAAGTTTATAACTTTTTGTATTAATGACTATAGAAGTTGGTAATAAAACAATGTATATTATAGGTTTCAATGTTTACGTAAATGTTGGTCAAAAGGCTGTATTTTCTTAGGTAAGAGGTCAGGATTTATGAAAAACAAAATGCTGTATGAATGAAATCATTTTGTAATTAAGTGAAATTTCATTATGATTCACAAAGTAAACTTAATCCAAATGAAATCTTGTTTCAGCTGAATTTATAATTAGCTATGTGAACTCTCTTGTTTTTAATAGTCATTAATATTTTAATTGGATATGTTTTTTAAGTAAAAACAATAAACTGTGTACATGTAAAACTTGGGAAATTTCCTTGCACTGTCATCAGACCTTCGCCCTGAGTACGCGCTTTCCGTTGGGAGCGTTGACTGGGAGCTGAGCGCGCCCGGACTGACCGGCTTTCTCAGCAGCACTGTGCGTGGCAGGGGCAGGCATTTCCAAAGCCATTGCCGCTGAGTCCACACCTCAGCACTGAGCATGTGTACATATTGTTAACACCAGTGTCAATGCCGAATTTATAAAAATCAGTTATCAAAACTGTTCTTCAGGATTCTCTAGTGGACCTGTATTTCCCCACGTCTGCGTCACTGGTGGCAGCAAGCCTCAAATTAAAACTGGAAACAAGCCTGAAACCAACAGTGGTACTTCTCGGTACCACCAGTACCAAGAGGGACAAACAGCTGCGTGTTTTCAGAGTGTGCTGGCAGCTTCCCTGAAGTGGCCGCCGGGTGGGCGCAGTGTGCGGGCCGGGCTGGGGACCGGACCACAGTGACGGCACACCGCCAGGCGCCGGGCTTTAGGGTTACGAGCGGCACTCCCACCTCCACTCCCTCGGATCGGGAGTGTGAAACCTTTCCCGGTTCAACGCCCTGCTCCGAGTGAGAACTGGCTCCGTTTCCCCGGAGAGGCCCGGCGTTCCCCAGGCGCCACGGCCCGCTGCGGGTCCAGAGCGTCTTCTGCAGGCTTGCTCCTGGTGTCTTCACGACAGAGGAGATGCGTCACCTGTGCTCTGCAGAGAGCTTTGATGTTTGTTGACATAATCGCTGCCAGTTATGTGTGGCAGTTCCGTGCGGATCTGACGCTTTGTTCCTCCAGAGTGGCAGTGGTGTGAGTGGCAGAGCTCTGTGGGGACGCTCGGGTTTTAGTAAGTTCTGTGCTGGAAGCGACACAGCTCTCGGGAGCCCACAGTGTGTGTCCTAGACACACGTGAGCTACACTGACAATAGCTGTAGTGACGGATAAAGGTAGTATGGACGCACCAGGGCATTTCTTACACTGCACAATCTTTTTATTTTTTAATATGTTTTTATTGATCTCAGAGGAAGGGGGGGGAGAGAAAAACATTAGTGACGAGAATCATTGATCGGCTGCCTCCTGCCCGCCCCCGACGGGATCGAGCCTGCACCCTGGGCATGTGCCCTGACCGGGAATCAAATGATGTGGTTCATGGGTGGACGCTCGACCACTGAGCCACGCCTGCCGGGCTGCACCCCACAATCTTAAATCCCACCCCAGCTTCCTACCCTCTGAGAAACGTTGTGAAGGTACTTTTCTGAGTTCCCAGGAGCTGAGATCAGACATGGTTCAGTGTCGAGAAATTCGACTTTCCACACGTTCAGCACTTGGTTCAGGCGAGGGATGGGGGCCACAGCATGTGACCCCCCCCCATGAGGCACGGGAATTCGGACTTCCCAGCCCGTTAGGCATCCTTCACTTCAGAGATTTTTCCAAGTGAAGATAACATTTTTTAAAGTAATAACTTATGTTGTCATTTTTAAGGGCTGAGAGGACGTCGTAGCCAAGATGATGTAGTTTACTTAAATGATTTGCCGTTTAACTAAATTTTACTCCTATGATTTTTTCTTAGTTCATTTATTGGCTTTACTTTTAAATTTTCAGAGAATTAAAAAAATAAAGTGGTGGAAAGAACTATAGGTTTTAGAATATGTTTATAAGTAAAACATGACCACTGATGATATTTGCAAAACATAGTGGATTTATTTTCTGGATGATAATGTAGTTTGCCTCGCTTTTCTTCCCGACCGTTTTCGATCAAGCGTTCTCGTTTCTGATTTTCTAAGAGGGCTGTTTTGAGTTGACTAGCAGGTGTCCCTCTCACTTCAGACGCAGTATTTCCAGAAGCACTCAGAGGGTTGCCCACGTTTCTCATGTTCCCTGATTCTGGCCAAAAGACGGTTCAGTAAGAGGCTGGGATCTTGCCCAGAGAAAGCCTGAAACAAAGAAAAACAGATGGATTATCAGTGGGTTCAGAGTCCTCCATGAAAGGAACATGAGTCCAGACGTCAGACCTTCCCCTTGTCCTCTGGGATTTAACTGCAGTAGGAGCCCAGCGGGCGGGCCTGAGGGGTCCCTCGCCCAACCCGGGGTCCGCCCGCTCTGTTTAGCCCTGTGATTGCCGAGAATCTCCGTGCACCCCCATCGGCCTATTTCTATTTAAATAACCTGTCAGTAACAACGTGTGGACCTTTATTATCTCCTGTGTAAAACAAGTATTTTATTTGTCTTGAAATTAACTTCTTAGAGCCCTGGGTTTGGGGATTTTTCATTCTAGAATTTCATGAGCAAATCTTGGCCATTACCGGTATGATTTTAGAGTTTTTAACCATAACCCTCCTGTTGAGAAGGTTATAAACATCTGAGTGATGACTTCTAGTTGGTTGCGTAGAAGCCACGCCACCCCCTTCTGGGGGGTTCCCCGAGGCGGGGCCTCTGGTGGTGTGTGCCATCCCCAGGACTGAGTGTTCCCAGAGTTTCTTTTTACAAGGATGTTAGTGGTCAGCGTGTTGGGGAAATGCTTGGTTAAGGTGAAATGAGCGCGTCTCGTGACCCCCGGGCGCCGATGTGCTCAGGTGCGCAGAGCCGCCAGGACGGGCACGGGGCTGGACCGGTGCTGGGCACTGGAGGCTGGCTCGGGGGACCGGCGTCCCCAGAAAGGCCTTTAGGAAACACTAATTTGGGGGGGTGGTGATCAAATTCAGATCTTTCTTTTACGTTCAAGGTCCTCCAGTTGTGCCTCATTTCTGACCATTCGCTGTCACCCATCGTCCCTGTCACAGTCTGCCCGCTGCAGCGAGGCGCCTTCCTGTTTTCTCCCGCGCGTCCCCCAGCTCCGCGCTCCGAGCGCGCTCTTCCTGAGACGCGGCGCCGCAGTGCCTTTCAAACCTCAGCTTGACACAGCCCCTGGGGATCCCGGTAAGCTGCAGATTTGGATCCCTTGGGTGCTGCGGGGGGGGGGG